TACTGCAATTATATGGGGCCTTGATGAGACTACACGGGCGATATTGTATGCAGTTTCGTCTCTCTTATCTGAGGAAGAAAGTTCTGACTATTGAGGGAGTGCAATGAAGGAATGGTGGAACTTACATATGAAGAGATTTTGAATCATTTAGGATTATATTGTGGAAGTTTTGACGCATTTAGGATTATATTGCAGAAGTTCAGAAGAATGAGGGGGAAATCTCATAGAAACCTATAAAATCCTAAGAGGACCAGAGAGGGTCAATGCAGGAAAGATGTTCCCGATGGTGGGCAAAAACACGAACCAAAGGCCACAGTCTAAGCATAAGGGGTAAACCTTTTAGACTGAGATGAGGAGAAATTTCTTCACTCAGAGAGTCTGTGGAATTCGATACTACAGAAAGTGGTTAAGGCCAAAACATTATATGATTTCAAGACAAAGTTGGATATAGCCCTCCAGGACTAAGGACACAAAGGATATAGAGGAAAAGCAGGAACAGCCAATTGAGTTGCATGATCAGCCATGAATAGTGGAGCAGGCTTGAAGAGCCAAATGACCTACTCCTGCTCCTATTTTCTACATTTCTATGTTTTTATGCTTAATGTGTGATCTTCAGACAAAATTCCATTCATTCTCAGAGTTATTCAAGCGGTTGAGTTTAGAGAAAGTAGTCTTTTAATATCTTGTAACTCATTCAAACAAAGCATTCAGTGACAGAGTTATCCATTTGCCCTGCCTTAACTGAATAAGCAGGAGTTCCCTGCCCTTGGAACAACACATTACATGAGTTAGTGCTTTGAAAGCCAGCCAGCATTCAAATGTATATCTGTGCCATTGAAGACCGGGAACTCCCTGACAATCAGGCAGTGAAGAGGAAGAATGCGGACATACACCCATTGAACAAAGGCCCATGGATAAAGGCATTGATTGTGAAATTGAGATCCTGGAGCTGACTTCAATAGAAGTAGTGAAGCGTTCACATTCCAGTCACCCCATAGACAAAATACCTTTAAACCATTCGAGTGTGTTTTGGAGCTTTCTGAAGGCAATTGCTTTTGAAAAACCTTAATCTTTGGATTAATAACCCTGAGAATGAATGTTCCTTCCCAGCATGGAAGGAGAGAATCTTAACCGAATTTTCAAAACTTGGAACTAAAGGGCTGGTCTCATTAAAAGCGCGCACAAAGCTGCCGGATTGTGGTAAAACTCCCAACTGATATCCTTTAGGGAAGGAAACCTATCACCTTTGTCTGATCTTGGCTATGCGTGATCTCAGATGCACAGAAATGTGGATGACTCTGAACTGTCCACTACAAAGACTGAACGAGTTTTATCAAAGTGCCACAAATTCTTCAAGGGAAAGTCCACCCAAAACCCTCCTGAACTGCAGCTTTGGCAGTGATGCGTACGTTTCAAGAAAGGGAAGAAATAAATCTGGATGTTATTTTCTGTAAAGCTTTTAGAAGTATTTTTGTTCCTTTCATTTTGATCACTCAAAGCTCAATTGGATTCCCTAGGCATTAGGGGAACTATTTAATGAGCTCTGCAAACAGTGCTTTGTAACTGGTCACGAGGGATCATGTCAGAAATCTCGGATAAAGAGAGACAACAAGGTGCAGGGCTGGATGAACACAGCAGGCCAAGCAGCATCATAGGAGCAGAGAGGCTGACGTTTCGGGCCTAGACCCTTCATCAGAAAAGGGGGAGGGGAAGGGGGTTCTGAAATAAATAGGGAGAGAGTGGGAGGCGGATAGAAGATGGATAGAGGAGAGGATAGGTGGAGAGGAAACAAACGGGGCGAAGAGGCGGGGATGGGGCCAGTAAAGGTGAGTGTAGGTGGGGAGTTAGGGAGGGGATAGGTCAGTCCAGGGAGGACGGACAGGTCAAGGGGGTGGGATGAGGTTAGTCGGTAGGAGATGGAGGTGCGGCTTGAGGTGGGAGGAGGGGATAGGTGGGAGGAAGGACAGGTTAGGGAGGCAGGGACGAGCTGGACTGGTTTTGGGATGCGGTAGGGGGAGGGGAGATTTTGAAACTTGTGAAATCCACATTGATACCATTGGGCTGCAGGGGTTCCCAAGCGGAATATGAGTTGCTGTTCCTGCAACCTTCGGGTGGCATCGTTGTGGCACTGCAGGAGGCCCAGGATGGACACGTCGTCTGAGGAATGGGAGGGGGAGTTGAAAT